TTGTGTGACGGTCAAATAAGACAATTTCCTTAACTATTCCTCAGTTACAGTATGTTCCTTACAGTTGGACCTGGACAGAAGTTTGTCCATAAATGTCCAGGTAGGAAGTGGATCTAGAACCACATACAGAAGTGACCAAGATCCTATTATAAAAAAAAAAATCCAATTTGTGCACACATCAATGAAAAGACTCCCTTGGAAGGAAAACTAAAAACTTGTATCTTCAGCATGTAATGTGAATGTACAGTAGCTAAAGTGAGTCACTTTGGGCATTTTCCAGAAGCTGAAGAAACATGACAATACAAACAGGTGAGAGACACAGGTGAAGGCTTTACCTCAGTCAGAGCGTGGAGTTGACCTTCATGCACACAAACCCCAAGAAACCTGAGAGGTAGAGAAATATAGTTAGGTCTAGGTTCTTCACTACACCTCCCAATTCCAAGTCATTTTAAATTTGAATTTATGTGACTCTGGCGGTCCATTATATTGATCTAAACTCATGTGGTAAGTCTTCAGGTGCCCTTGATGTTCAAAGTTTGTTTGGATACACATACCTGAGTATATTGGGGTGGCAAAGTCGGTTCATTAGCTGAACTTCTCTTAGCATGTTAGCTTTGTTGCTAGCCAGCGTGTTCATTTTCAGTGCCATCACCTGTCCTGTGATCCGATGCTGCACCTAGGAAACAGCCAGAGAATGTTTACAGTGAGAACAGAAGTCATCACAAACTAACTGACACAGCAGAGATTAAAAACACACCAAGAATCCTGGTGTTTCAGTCGAGCCTATCAGAACACTTCTGACGTCCTGCGGTCTTTTCACATGCTGTATGAGATGTACAGCAAAGAACATTACATTTACACAGAGAATCAGTACAAGTGGTTTGTCACACATCATGCTGATCATGCCCATACACATTTAACTGGGCAGGAAGAAGATTAATCATTAATAAGGTTATCCCTTTGTCACAGATGGAGGTCGTCAGGTCTCAGCCTCATGCATGACAGGTAAATATAAACACTGGGATTTGCTATAGTTACAGTAGCTGGCCAGTGTGTGTGCCTGTTTCTCAGCTGCAGATGTGATGATGCATTTACCCCAAACATGTATTTATCAAACAGACGCACTGCGCTCGAGTCACAGTCATATTAATGACACACCGCATAACTAAAAGACTAATGAGTAGAGGCTTGGAGAGGTAAGTTTGGCCCACGAAACAACCCATTAGATTTTGGTGGTGATCCAGATCATCTGGCTACAGGAATTAATTTTTTGTTTTACAGGAAATAGGGCCACTTTCAGTATTTTATCTTCTAGCACCATACACAATGTTCCAAGCATGCTTGGAACAGGTCATGAACCTGTGAGGCTGCAGGTACAGCAGATCTGTGCTTGTGTGTGTGACTGGATTATCACTCACTGTCTGGGGGTTTGTGCCTGCAAAATGTAGTCGGTGTCTGGACCTGCAAGTGAATGTGTCTCTGTGTTTATGTGTGTGTGTGTGTGTGTGTGTGTGTGTGTGTGTGTGTGTGTGTGTATTAATAGCATAGCACTAATAGGCTTTCTGGATTTCCCATCACTCCACCTGGTCTGTACACATCCGCTGGGCAATTAGTAAAGCCCCTCCCAGCAGCAGACAGGAGGCAGGCACACATGCACGCACACACGCGCGCGCGCGCGCACACACACACACACACACACACACACACACACACACACACACACACAATTTTGTCGTAGACATCTTTAGTACTTTATTTTATACAGTGGAGCTGAACCTCACCATTGTGACTACTTAACAATCATACTCATACTGGTCTATTGCAGGAACACACCCTTTACTTTTGTGTACTTGTTGTGGCAGCAGGAAAATACAGAAGCTCAGGCTGATTCTGTGACAGTCTGTGCATTTTTATAATCCACTGTGAAGTTTGCAAGCCTTGATTTTTTTGTTTCATCTCATGAGCAGCTAGGCTAGCCTCATGGCTAATGTATTGCTGAGTTAGGTGTTAGGCAAAAATAAGTTTAATATTACACTTATGACAAGTAATATAAAAGTAAATGTGGCTAAAATTTATAAACATTGTCAAATGACTACTCAAAGCTTTTGTAGAAGGAACATGTTGTGTTCCTCAGTACAGAATCATTCTGACAAGGCAGCATCTGCTAACCTTCTCTAAACTCGAGGTGCAGCTGAAGCTGATGAGAATGCCAGTAAATTTGCAGGAATCTGGTCATGGACAACAAGCTTACATTAGGGCTGTACCTGGCTAAGGATTTTGCCAGTTGACTGAAGTCAGCTCTTCAGTGTGACTATTCTACTATTCATTCTTTTTTTAAAAACACACACATTATACAGTGAGGAACAGAAGTATTTGAACACCCTGCGATTTTGCAAGTTCTCCCACTTAGAAATCATGGAGGGGTCTGAAATTCACATTGTAGGTGCATTCCCACTCTGAGAGACAGAATTAAAAAATAAATTCAGGAAATCACATTGTATGATTTTTAAAGAATTTATTTGTCTTGCGCAGCTGAACATAAGTATTTGAACACCTGAGAAAATCAGTGTTAATATTTGGTACAGAAACCTTGTCATGTCAGACAGCCTCTCAGTGGAAGCTGCCCTTGGTTTAAAGTCAGCTGGACCTGAATTGTATGTCAGGGTTGAAGCAGCGCAGTGTTTTAGCATTCGTTACATTATATGCCACTAATACTTATTTGGATCTGGAGGAAATAAAAACAGCCTGGATTTCATAGTAAGTCAACAAACTGAACTCCCATGAACATTTCCTATTAGTGAATCACCTGCTACCAACACCACACATGTAATTTAGGCCTAAGAGACTTGCTAATTGTCTTATAGAAAAGCCTTCTAGATTTCAGCCAACCACTCTCATTATTCTCTCCACTAAAAAAAGGCCTCTGAATGACAGTGATTACACCCATAAGCTGAACTGTGTACTAGGCTATTAAGAGAAACTTGGTTTGATCAAACTGGGTGTAAGGATTTTACTGATACCCCACCCCCAACTACAGCTTTCTGCACTGCCCTGTATACTGGGAGAGGTAGAGAGAGGGCTTGAGTTAATTATTTTGACTTTAAACATCTCCTGTTTTAGTCACAAACATGTTTTCCAAAGGTTCACATGTTGCCGGACCAGCTGTGCTTGATGTTGCAAACTCAGATCATTTCTGTATCTTGTCTCTTTCTATCTAACTTCTTCAGGTAAAACATGTCACCCAGTGCAGTGCAGATGACTTCTTCAGGTAGAAACATGTCACCCAGTGCAGTGCAGATGCAAATACAGATGCAAAGAAACTCTCTGTTCTTGTATGTACTGTACCTCACAGATGCATTTAACACCTTTTAATGCACAGACTGTATTATCCTACTGTCTGGACGGTCATGTGCCATTTTTATCCACCGTGACGGCGCCTCAGCCAGCACTAAAGCCATTTCTACACCTCACAATTACACAGGCACACCATGATGATATTCCTGCTCACAACAGCAAAAATTTGCATCTGCCATCACTTCTACATGCATGAGTGGCACTTCTACACATGAACTACACATGATTTCTTCACTAAGTGTACTGGAACAATAACAAGAAGCTACAGTGAAACTCTCTGACACAAAGCTCTACACTGTTGTCACAATGCAGCTATACTTAAAGGGATCGAGCTGCTCCACTCCAGGGAGGTGTTTTTACATGTTGTATGTAATTTTGCATAAAGTTAATATAAAAGTTGAGTTGGGTTTCACTTTTTTTGCCAGATGTCATTTATAACACTCCCTGTTTCCAGCTTATCTAATGTGATACTTTTCAACCAGTAAATCATTCTTAAACTTAGGTTGGCGATCCTGGAAAACCGGAAAGAGGAAGCTCCAGTTTAAAAGTGGCTTCGCTCCCCTGTTCTGACTGCACCGTGCACTGCCTGACTACTAAAACTAAAGCAATCTAGTGCAGCAGAAATCCGGCCACCATAGTGTCACTTTTCAGCCTTTTTTGTTCTCTCAGTCGTCGCAGTCATTCATCAATGTTAATTCTAGTTTTACTTCTTGTAGCATCCAAATTCTTTTTAGTTGTAACTTTCTCAAATACAGTGTTACCCACTCAGATCTGCAGCCCTGAACCATAGTTGGGGACCTCTGGTTCATGGCTAAACTGCTTTAGCCCTGGCTCATAGTTGGGGACTAGCCTTAGAAGTCAGGCCTTTTCTGGCAGGGAGAAGTAAATGGTAAATAGTCTGGGGGCTGTGGTTTAGGAGGTAGGGTGGGTCATTTCCTAACTGAAGGATTAGTGGTTCGATTCCCGGCTTGTACAGTCAACATGTCGAAGTGTCCTTGAGCAAGACACTGAACCCATGGCACATATTTCTGAATTATGGGATTAATACCTCTGAGGTCTGCGTTACAGTGCGGCTCTGATTACAAAATTAGCCACATATTCTACTAACTGAACCACCAAAAACTGCATCATTCCTAGATGACTGCGACATATTGATCACATACCTTGAAGACCTCAGAGAAGAAACCTGAACCGATCTTCTCACAGAAAAAGTCATCGATGCGGGCCAAGCTGGACACTGCGCTCCTCAGAGCTCGGTACGAGGATGGGCGGATCCGGTTGGGCGCGTGGATGCTGTGGAGCCATGGCTCGTCCGGAACACCGTGACCCTCCTCTGGATCACAGAAGCAGCACTCGGCGTGGTAGTCCATGCCGCTGGCAGATGACCACGCTCCAGATCCGTTGTTTCCCGCAGGGGAACCAGAATATCTGTTAGACTGCAGTAGTCCTGAAGCATGAGGTGATGGTGGCTCCCACCATCGTGGTGTCACAACAATCAAAACGTCTCCCGATGACCTGACAATATATCTGTTTCACACAACACTGCAGTACAAACTGCATGTGCTTCCCAGGTTGCACCCAGATGAAGGCTGGTCTAGACCTCTGGTTAATACTCAAATCAAAAATAAAAATATCTCCATCACTACTTTAGTGAACCACATTTCTCATTCGTCTCATTTGAAGTGAAGATGAAGAGCAGGATCAATCAGTCCCAGCTCCCAGTTTCTCCTCTGTGGCTCACTCGCTTCCCACGATCAATGGGAAAGTCTCACTAATGACAAGTTAAAGCGCTCCATGTGGCTGCCACGACAGGTTTAAGAATTCCTGGGAACCCTTGAACGCCGCCTCATGGTGTCTGTACGCGAGGAGGCTCGATTCCCTCGTCATCCCGTTAGTTGGGAGGCTGTGATGATGGCTGCTGCACGGTACCGGTAGATGGTAGGAGGGCCGAGCAGTCCCTGTGCAAGCATGTAAGAATATTACAGAGACATTATAAGAAACAATACAGACTATAGAAATCTCATTATTATAATCGAACGCATGTGAACTGATGTTGTCGCATGTGGTGATTAGAGGCCCCTCGGAATCCAGGGCCCTTCTGCTGCCTGTAAGCATCCGGCAGCCATAAGGCTTGTAACCACAGGGAGACACCGCTCGCAGGGCGATAAGCTGTAACATCCACACTGGATAACATTGACCTGCACTGCTCAACCAGATTGTTAGGTTTAGAAAGAATTATATGTCACGGTCAGCCATGTTTTAGTCTGTTTTTACAACTGCGTACTGTAAATAACTATTTGACCGAGAATAAATAAACGTCGCAAAATCCCACATTTCTCGTGGCCAATAAAAAACACCGGCTACTGTTAATAACGGGGGCTGTCGGTGCTAAGCAGTGGCGACGGCTCACCTGTCTCCTCACGTCGCTCGGGACGGAAAAATGAATACGGTCCGAATGTTGGAGGGAAGCGAAGGCAGAGATGTCTCGCCGCAGTTCGGCGGAATCCGCTGTTGATAATCCCGTCTGGACTTCGGCTTTCTGAGCCGCTTGTTGGTGCGACTACCAATAATGAAGCGGGCCGGATTCAAGGTAGCGATAAGGATAGAGAGGACTTCCTCTTAGAATTTCAGAATAAAATCGTTTTAACCTATGCAATGATGTGAAGAATATTTAGTGGCTCTATGCAAGCTGCAGATGAAAGAAATTTGATCATTTATAAAAAGCACCATCTTGATTTCCACGAAACAAATGTCCACATTACAGAGTAGGCCTATGAGCTTCCACAGCTCTAAAACAATATCCTCACAATGAACACACAATGAACAAACTCAACTACATTCCATATACAGTATGTAAACCAAAAATTTAAAAGGGCCTCTGCATTCTGAAAGATGGCTCAACATTAGCTTTTGTTTTTTAGCTTTTTAAAATCATGACAGATGTTTTTGTTCAATTGACATATGTGAGGAAGAGTTTAAGGTTTTCTTATAACATCAGAGTAATTTTTCAGTATGAGATGAATGACAAATAGGCTATAGGAGTACATTTCAGTAGGATGTGGCTATGTAATGATGAAGTCATGATTATTGTAGGCTTAATAAGATAGAGACAACGGGCTGACTGAAGGAATGTGACTTCCTTTCTTTCTTTCTGTTCTAGGCCTGTCTGGAAGGTAGGTCTACAGTTTTTTCATTTAATGTATCAGCCCCCTAAGACTTTTATTTCGAAAAGAAAGAGTCTTTAATCTTCTTGTGCGTTTTCTTTAACTTTGTTTAGTTGACACCTGGCACACATAAACCGGGCCCGAGTGAGCTGCTCTGGTTGGAACAGATGAGATGGCACAATCCAACCCTGACAGCTGTTCGGGAATCAGTTTCCTCTTCAACCACAGGGCTGGAAGACCAGCGTCCTAAAACATAAAAACCGTTCCCGAACCAGCTACTGATCCGGAAGTGGAGCGCTGGCACACGTTTCAATTGTAATAAAATAAATAAATTAAAACAAAAATTATATAAAATTACAATATAATAAAGTAGACACATTATTCTGATAATGATAACAACAAAGGAGAATTTATTTTGAATATTAATTTTAAAATATAAAGACAATAGAAAAAGAAATATTGACCATCATCATCATCTGATCTCCCCCTGCTACTCTTCCTCCTTTTGCTGTGTGCTACTGACACGATTTTCCTGTTCACGTTGGAGGAAGTGATGAGGGAACTCCGCACAAGCCCACAGCACAGAACAGCATGCGGTGCATCAGCAGCAGATCAGTTAGGCCTGGGTGGAGTTAGGTTCTGCACTATGAAATAAATATGAAGGCTAATAAATATGTTTGATATAGCACTGTGACATCTGAGGAAAATGACAGCATATCTAAATAATCATATTAAACCACTTGCGTTTTTTCTGGAATAATAATCAAGGGTTAAAAGTGATGTCAGCCTGGTATAAAGGGTGTGAGGATGACATCATGGTTTGGTTTCATCTGGAGAAGCAGTGGATTCTCTCATGATTGTCTCTTGTGATTGTCTCTTGTTTGATCACAATGGAGTCAGCATGTGTAGATATGCGTTTGTGAACATATTATAAGAAGTGTCAGATGACAGAACCTTCATACATTATTAACAAAATGTACTTGTTTGGAAACAAAAAGCTGATTTAGTTTAGCTTCCATGGTTCCTTTATGTTTTAAGACATGGAGTTTATATTTAACACATAGCCTACATGGAGAGACAGTAGCTGGTATTTTACAGGATTAGACAGAAAACAATCAAATCAAGGGAGGGCAGTCTCAGAAATGTGCTTCCGTCGTTTCTTTGTGGGTGTTGACCAGTGTTGTTACTAACAGCATGGAAAGTTCAGCCAGCGTAACAGCGGAAAGCAGGAGCCAATATAGGGCCCCTGTGTGATGTCTTTACTTCCATTTGGAGGCTGGAGGGTGCCAAAGCTTGAGTGGCAAAAACAGAGGTGACTGTTTTTAGAACAGGTGGGGGATTCGTGGTAAGCTGGATACTGTGCATTGAACTGGAATGCTGCAGAGCAGGTAGTAGACTTAAATGGCACTACAGGTCACTGTGCACTAAGACAACCAGGCACAGGGACAGTTTCTTCCCCCAGGCTGTCAATCTGATGAACACTTAACCAGCGACAGTATGACTGGACAATAACCCTCAGTGCAATACATGTACATATACATTGTACAGATTATACAGATTCATACAGGTCTCTAGTTTTAAGTACTCTATTTTTATTCCTATTTATCTCATTTCAATGTACATTCCTTTGTCTGTCTGCATTGTTTACTGCCTGTTTATACTGCTTATTTTGTTATATTACACAGCCTTATGCTGGTTTACTGTTTACTTGCCCCTTGCATGGGGATATGTACATACATATTGAGAGCCGATGTACCAGAGTCAAATTCCTCATGTGTCCGACACACATGGCCAATAAAGCAGATTCTGATTCTGATTCTGAAAACCATTCTTCCTCATGTGGCATTTTGATGATGGTGGTGGAGACGCTGTCTAACACTTCACTCCAACATCTCCCATAGGTATTCAGCTGGGCTGAGACCTGGTGACTATGAAGGCCACAGCAGTGACCCTTCCCTCTAAGGGGACAACTGGACCCAAACCGTGTTGCCAACATCTGCATTCATCATGTTTCTCCACTCATTTATTCAGGTTTTTCCTTTAATATGTCCCCCATCTGTAGTTGCTCAGGCTTTGATTGCAAATGTGCTTTCACTTTGTTCTTCCTTATTCTACATGACATGAGGCTTTACAGCTATAGGACATCAACAGGCTCAAGTTGCTCCAGTTTACAGAACAATATGTGTTGTTATCAGTGTTGGGAAGTAACTAGTTACTGTAACTGAATTATAAAATAAATGCAATTGTAATCAGTTACAGTTACTGAGAAAAAATACATAATTACATTACAGTTACTAATCAAAATGTTAGTGTTTACATAGGTGTTGCATCTGAATATATTCTTTTGAGTAAAAAGCTTAGAATATAACATTCATGCTGTTGCCTTGCAGAACGCCTTCTTTTGGCATAGTTACAGAAAACACAGGTCAGCAAAGCTGTTGGCACAAATTTAAGTGCAACACCATCATAGGTAGGCTTGCAATGAGCTGCCTCTACATCCAGGCCGACTCATTAGGCAGCATGCATTAAATTTTGAACATTGCTTTTGATTGGTTTTCTTGACTTTGCACCACCTCTTGTTTGCCAGTCAAGCCACACAACACTTTTCAGTGATGGAAATTCAACATTTTTGATTCCTTCTGGAATCAAAAAAGGCTTTGCTTGATGCTTCAGGCTACATGTTTCAACAGTAATATACAATATTATGTAATTGAAGCTATGTTGAAGAACCTGTCAACCAAAATATTAACATGTAATAATTATACACTGCTGTTGTGAAGTTTACACTACCGGGTTTAAATGGACGTTGGGACTTTTCTGCATTATTGCCTAATTTAAAACATTTTTAGAGAGGTTATCTAAAAGCAGGTAAAAGTAATAAGCTACATTACTTTGATAAAGTAATTAAAATAGTTACATTACTTATTACATTTTTAACAGTCAGAGTGCCTACTACACTTTGAAAGTAACCTTCCCAACACTGGCTGGCAGTAGCCTAATGCCAGAACTTTTCCTCATATATAAAGTCAAAATGTACGCTGTTTAAAAGATGGCATTCTGTTGTCTGTATTCTTTCTGATGTGATGAATTAAGGTGTTTATAGATCTCTGTTTTTCAAGATATAGCTATAAAATGAATAAACACCACCATCTTTTCACTCTGGATAATTATGACTTGAGAAGGACCACATTTACTTTTTTGTTTTTTAATCAAAACTTTTGCCATCCTGAGAGCCCACAGATGAAAACCCCATAAAGACCTTTAGGGAATTCTGCTTGTCCTAACATCGACTGACCTCTGACGTAACCAGTAAGCGCCTGTTATAGCACATTTATCCCGGCTGACCTCCGCACCTCTTCCGCCCCATAAACCAGGCTTTCATCACAATCCTTCCGACTGCTAACTGCAAAGCTTCCTTGAGTTAACAAGAGTTACATCGATAGTAAAGTGTTCCGCTTTCATATTAAAAGCATTGAGGTTGACAAACCGGTGTAAAGGAGGCAACAATATTTTATAATTTAGAAAATAATGTTTTATATATTGATTTTATGTCTGATATTTTTATATTTCTTTAAACAAAGTTCATAAAACGATAAACCCAAGTTAGCTCGGTGTATGACATGCAGAGAGGTTTATTTTTAACAACTAAACCGGAAGTTGTATTTCCGACTACCTTTAAGCACCGAGCTAACTATCACCGAGCTAACGACTTCATCCCTGCGTGCCTCGGTGTTTTCGAGGTCCACTTGCTATTTTAGTGGTAATACGACAACTCATTAGAAAATGGCTCTGCTAACGCCGTTATTCGCTTTCCTGTATCACCTGCCGCAGGTGTACAAGTGGCTGCTGAAGCCCTACTATGTAGCGTCTCTCTTTATGTCTATAGCCTTCCTAGTTGTCCGCAAGACGCCTGGTATCTGCGACCACCTGGCCACACAGCGAGAGGACGGCAACTCCTGTGACTTCGACTGGGTCCGTAGAAAATGCTACAAAGTCTCATTGTTTTCTTGTTATCAATTAGCTGATAGCTAGCTGGTCAGTGGAACACTACAGGGTTACTGAGCGGAATGGCAGCAAAGGCCAGGTGACATCAGCTGAGCGGGGAGAGCATGGCGGGCCAGACTGCAATCAGAAAACTGCAAATTCATAAGTTTGTGCTTATTGGCAGAGATACACAAGTTCAACAAATGTAATTTATAACTTATTCCAGTTTGTTAAGGTATTATATTATATACGGCGTATGGACTCTGCAAATCAGCGATTATTTAAACACAGAAATGAATTATAGGAGTTGCATTGCGCCATTCACTAAAGATGTTGTTTTAAGGAATCTTTTGTTTTTATCTTTGATTTCTATTTTTCTTTTATCTTTCTATTTTCTTTCCTTGCTTTATTTTCTTATTTTTATTCTTTGTTTTCTTTAGAACATGTCCCATAAATGCGCTTAAAATTTATTTTTCCTTTTTTCACTCTGACAATGTCAGTTGATTTGTGATGTGATTTTTGGACTGCCTGGTTAGCTTGACTGTCCACATCTGGGACCTGTCCCGTTCTTGTTCTCAGAGAGAGGTGGAGATCCTCATGTTCCTCAGTGCCATTGTCATGATGAAGAACAGACGGGCCAGTGAGTCAGTGTTTTTGTTGAGTTGTTCTGGATTCAGTTTAATGATTTATTAGAATCTGATGTATACTTAAAGTAACAAAGTGTAATGATATCAGCCATTTTCAGTTAGAAAATATGGACGTCAACCTCCATATCCATAGTGGTTGAATCTTAGAAACAACACCACTTACAATTTTAACAACACAAGTGTCATTATCTCCTGCTAATTTCACTAGCTTTTGTACACATAAGTGTCATAAACATAAGTGTCTCCATATCGGTTGGTGTCAGTAACGGTGGAGCAGCACGTGGGCAACATCATCCTGTTCAGCAAAGTGGCCAATGTCATCCTGTTCTTCAGACTGGACGTCAGGATGGGATTGCTCTACCTGACTCTGTGCATAGGTCAGTCCAGCCTTTACTATGACATGTAGATCAGCTGACACAGCTGTTTCCATCCATCCATTATCTATACCACTTATTCCTGAATAGGGACCTAGGGGGGCTGGAGCCAAACCCAGCTGACATTGGGCGAGAGGTGGGGTACACCATGGACAGGTCGCAATTTGTTCAAACACACAGTGAATAAATATCTTGTTGATGCACGGTGATTATTTGTAATAAAGTCTGTAAAATATCAAAATACTGGTGGCTGTATCTGAACAACATCAGCAACAAAACACAAGGTATTCACTTTACCATGACAAAACACAGAAAAGCAGTAAATCTCTCACACTGGACAACGTGGGACCACAGACTGCCTGGCATTTCTGTTTTTATTAATTAACGACATTATCAAATTTGTGTCCATTGATCTGTCAATTGACTGATTAATGGACTAAATATCAAAGCGTTATCCTTTCCTCTTGGGTCTTTGTTTCAGTGTTTTTGATGACTTGTAAGCCGCCTCTTTACATGGGCCCAGAGTACATCAAATACTTCAGTGACAAAACCATTGATGTGAGTACAAATGGTAGAATTTGTAGAAGCTGTTTGGCCACTGCCCAAGAGCTAAATCTGTACAATTTTTTTGTATTCATGAATCAGAATTGTGTGTGTGTGTGTCTCCAGGACGAGCTGGACAGAGACAGTCGTGTAACATGGATCGTTGAGTTTTTCGCCAACTGGTCTCCAGAATGCCAGTCCTTTGCTTCTGTCTATGCCGATCTCTCTCTCAAGTAAAACGTCATCCATACACTCAGTCAAAATATGAAGCGACACTCAGTGACGCTAACAAGACTAACCAGTTAGTTCTGTTCTTGTGTGTCAGGTATAACTGTGCTGGCCTCAAGTTTGGCAAAGTGGACATCGGGCGTTATGGAGAGGTTTCCAAGAAGTAAGACATTTACGGATTTTTTTTTTCTTTTCTTCTCATTTTTACAAGTTAGTTTCATTCAGTGGTGTCGTTTCTCTGGTCAGAGACGACTGTCTGCAAATATGACCCTGTTGTTTTGCCTGGATCTGATCCTGTTCTGCAGGTACAAAGTGTCTACATCTCCGCTGTCCAAGCAGCTTCCCTCCCTGGTGCTGTTCCAAGGAGGGAAGGAGGTGATGCGACGCCCCCAGGTGGACAAGAAGGGCAGAGCTGTATCATGGAGCTTCACTGAGGTCAGACTGGACACTTCTGATTAGTGACTGTATCAGAAAACACATGCCTTTTGTACTCGGTTATATTTCTTGTATTTACAAAAACAGCAAACCTCAGTTTGCTTGTTCATATTCCATATTCTTATTCCACACTGATATGCTACAGACATGGTAGCAGTTTACACCTCTGTGTTTTTTTTTCCATCAGGCGGTTTCTCTAAAAGGTTTTGTATGGATTTAGAGGAACTCCGTAGAAACATAAGATTCGGCTGCAGTTCCATCTGTTTCAGCCATGTTTTCACCTTCAAGTGCTAACCAAACACTGTTTACATGGATTTATTGCATGAATTAAGAGCATCATTTTGCAGTAGCTGAAAAGTGTCTTCCAGCATTTAAAATGTCAAATATGCTAAGACATCTTGGAAATGTCAGACCTGCTAATGCTCTGTATGAGGGTCATGCATCAATATGTGCTCCCAGCATTTAAAATGTCAAATATGCCAAGACATCTGTATGAGGGTCATGCATCAATATGTCACTTAGAGTTTGGCTGAAACATAAAATTATTTTTTTTGTACTTTTCTCATTTGTACTTTTTGTATTAAACAGAATGCAACTCTGGAAGATTCAGCTGAACTGTCTTAGAGATCTGTTTGCAGTCAGTGTGGACAGGAGGAGCTGTTCAGTGAACAGTAACCCTTGCAGTGTCAGTAATGTAGATGTGTAGTTATTAAGACAGGTTCATATGTTTTCAAGACTATCTTTTATATTAGGCAGGTTAACTGTCATTAACCAACAGGCATGGGTATTATTAGGAGATTTTTGGTATTGGGACCAGTACAGTCCCGAGTCCCAGTATAACTCACGGTTGTAAAGAAATAAGTATATATAAATCTTTTGGAGTTAAACTGCAAACTGAAACAAAGTTCCATCTGTCCTCCAGGAGAACATCATCCGAGAGTTCAATCTGAATGAACTCTACCAGAATTCCAAGAAACTTAACAAGACCAGAGGAGACAAGATAAGCCAGTCCCGGTTCCCAGCGGTCCCCGAGGAGGAAGAGCCAGTGCAGCAAGGAGCTGACACCCAAGGGGAGGAGTCTGAGTCCAAGAAGGACAAATAAGACTGTACGTCTGGATTAGAGCATGTGGTCTAGGTCAGCTCCCCCCCCCCTTCCCCCAAATGAAATATCACTCAGTTGTGTGTTACAAATGAACCACAGAGAAAGTCCAGGCGCTGATGCTGGTGTGTCAGAGCAGTAGACTGCTTGAACAATGAAAACTGCCACATTACTTCTGCCTCTTTTCAGCCCCATTTAACACTCCTCCTCCTCTAAAACCTGTCTTTCATCAGCTGTGCAGCACAGTGGCCTCCACTTTATTTCCCCTTAACCCAACACAGAGAACAAGTGTACAGTGTGGTGGAGGAGCAGACTGGGCTACAATAAGCAGCTTTTGAAACCTGGTCCAGTCTGTCAGTGGAAGGCCTGGAAATGTGCTGTGTGGACCTGCCATGTTGCACCCATGTCTGCACAGCACATCTCTGACGGTTAAAGCTGAGAAGTCAGAGTCAGCTGGGTTCTTCTTAATGAACAATGAGGGAGCAGACATGTGATGCTACTCTGTTTTTGATTTAGATGGTTTTATGCAACTAATTTAATTTGTTGTAGATGTTTAAATCTTATTAACTGTATATTCATGTAAACTAAGTTATAACTCAGTAGAACACTGTGTGTTTGACAGCATTCATTTGCAGTGTTAAATGTTCGGCTTCCTGTTGCTTTCAATTTGAAATGAAAGACAGTATGGGAGCACTTGTTTAGCATCAACACATCTGCACGGCTCAGGTGGCTTTTCTCGAGTTCACTAATCACTGGACAGGATCCATGTCGTACTACTGCGGGCAGACCAAGCTCAGCACTGTCATTCCAGTTTTTCTGATGAAACGTTCCATCAGTTTTTCACTTGATTTCTCCCGATTCCCACTCTCTTGTGTGTGTTGTCACTTCAATTCAGTGTATTTGCCTCAAACTGTGATGAACAGAGTTGTGTTCAGCTCTGTCAATATAAATTTGCAGATGGAGATGCTACATGCATTCATTGCAAACTTTCACAACACTTGATTGGAAAATAAAATTCACTGTCTCTGCAGCATAGTCACCTTGTTGGTTATGTATGTTACCAACAAGGTGATTGTGTTGTTTTTTTAAAGCAAACGGCGCTTGTGCTTTAGCAGTGACTGACTCTTTGTACGGGGTGCAGTACTCTCCTTGGAGCTGCCAGCAGCCTCACAACCCCAGCAAACAGACAGCATCCAAGTTGGTATGTAAATTTGCAGATGCAGATGTTTGTTTTTTTTTTAAGAATATGACTAGAGTACATTCTACATCTGACACATCTCTACTTTCTGCAGAAAGGGGTACTTCCACGAAGTCAACTATATGTCACATAATGTACAAACATGAACGTGGACCATGAACACAAAAACAAACTGACAAAAAAGTTGACCTTTAAGGCCTGTGACATGAGCACACCTGTAGACTGGCATCATTCCACAGTGTTGGTAAATGTGAATCCTTTACACTTGCACTTGTTTTGAAGTTGTGTTAGCCAATCAAATGCTGTCAAACACTTGTCCTGGATATTCATTCAGCTGAGGTCTGGACATCCCTTTGTTTCTCCACACCTGTGTGTGTGAGGGCCTGAGAACAGCTGTCCACAGAGCCACTACATCACTTTTCCAGGATTGTCTGACACTTAGTTTCCTCTTTATAACATTTCCAACCAGAATGATGAGGGAAGCTGTGATTCCTTTTGGACCACATCAGCAGTTTGAAGCATTTGATTCAATTATCTGCTTTTGGTTCTTGATTTTCTTAGTCAGGTGTTTGAGCTAAACATCTGTTTTACAGTGTTTTTTTTAACAGGTTTTATTACTAATTCCATGTTTTATTACTAAAATCATTGTTTTGTAGCGTACAGTTATTTGACCTATTTGTCATGTTGCATTTCATTTAAGCTGCAGGATTGTGTGTACACAGAGAGGTCTGCTGAAAACACTAAAGCAGTCTGAGCTGTTTTGTTATTCATGCAATAAAACAATGTGCACATGAAGAATGTCTGTGCAGCCCTCATTCTTCAGATGAATCAGTCCAGCTTTTCAGTACTTATCTGAAACTTACATCCACTTGTCACCAAGTGAGCAGAGAAACACAAAGCCCTGTGCAGAACAGACAACTCTAAATATTGGCATCAACTCTTAGGAGGTTATCCTTCTGCTAAGCGATCCAAATGTCTATACACTGGATATTAATGCCAATCAGAATAAAAATGTAGTGTATGGACACAGCATACAGTGGCTTCAGAACATTCAGATCCCTTCGCTTTCAAGACACTTCGGTGTATTGGAAATTTCACTGTAAATAGGTTAAACTGTCATTGTTGCCCAACAATCCACACTCAGTAACCCATAATGACAAAGTGAAAATGTTTTTAGACAATTTTGCACATTTAAGTCAAAATCTGAAACGAATCATTTCATAAGAAATGATTCGAGACCCTAATTCAGCACTTCGTAGGAACCTGGCTAAACAATTAGAGCAAATATTTTCAATGGCAGCAATATGCAGCCATAGTGCTACTTCATACCACCAGGGTTAACATTCTGTGCAATTTGGGCAAAAGAGCTTTAAACAGCTCGATAAACTTTACAAAAAGCACTATATTAACAGAGACAGAATCCTGATAGTGCACGTACAGACAAGTCTAAAATCCTTTTTAAGTGAAAAGAGCACCAGTGTACCACCCCTTGGTTTAAACTTTATTAGCAGTCCCCCAGCCGCTCACCACATGCATACAGCCACAGATACATTCACACACAATCTGTACAGTACATGTATTTGAACTTCAGTGTCCCAGCCATGTTTAAGGCTGAGGCCTGCCAACACCCACCTACAGCCCACCATCCCCTTCTACCAGCCACCTTGCTCAAAGAGATCTCGTCTACAGCAAAATGAAATGAATTACACGTTTCCTTAAAAACACAATCCACATCACACGATTCCCTTCCTGCTCAGTTCTCTGACAGCACTTCCTGTGTGCTTTATTTAATTATATAACTGGCTGTACTTCCAATAACGAGTAATGTGGTTGATGCCGTTGTCATCGTGATCCTCCCAGACTGGATAAAGGTGACAGTAGACTCTAGTTAAAAGTTGTATTTTTACCCATCATGTGCCATGACAAAAGGCTGACAGTTACAAAGGAGTGTGTCACCTACCACCAACTGCTAAACACAGACAGTCCAACATTTCTAAACTACTGAACACATTTTCTCAGACTTGGAGCCTCTTCTATCCATATTAAGTGTGTTTCCCATGGCACACACATTTGATTAGAAAAATAAAAAGAAAGTTTGTGTAATCCTGTTGTGGGTCTCGAGCACCATCAATCACAAATGAAGGTCAATTTAAATGTGAGAAGTCAGCAGGCATTAAACAAATTAAATAGCACAACAGTGTAAGGGCCACTGTGATGGAGGAAAGAAAATTGATTTTCAGAATAAAGTTGAAAGGCAAAATAACTAGACTGTATGAAATGCAGAAACAATGAGCTCAGTCTAAGAATAACACATTCTGTTGTCTGGACTGAACCCTTGTCTTGTAATACTGTTACCTGACTCTCGTTGCCTAACTGTTCAAACCCTGGTTTCTGAAATTAGGACTGTAATCTTGACTTTTCCTCACAAAAGTACAACTTTATCTAGCACTGACTTGCTTGCAAAATTACAACTTCATCTTGTAATTACTTGCATGTAAATTTACCTTTTCTCATAAAATTTTCACTTTCTAATCAATAATCACTTTACTTGGCCAAGTATGTTACACACAAGGAATTTGTTTCTGGTACAGAACCGAGGCAGCCATCTGCGGTGCCAACTCAACCGATGGCTCTAACCATCAGGGGCAACTTGAGGGTTCAGTGTCTTGCCCAAGGATACTTCCGACACATGGAGGCAGGCACTGAGATTCGAACCTCTGACCCTCTGGTTGGGAGACAACAGCTCCACCCGCTGAACGACATTCGCCCCCAATGTTTGTATCTGTCCAGTTTTGCGCCAGTCACAACGTCAACATCATCAACACGCCCACTAGCTCCACGACACATGGAGGCAGGCACTGAGATTCGAACCTCTGACCCTCTGGTTGGGAGACAACAGCTCCACCCGCTGAACGACATTCGCCCCCAATGTTTGTATCTGTCCAGTTTTGCGCCAGTCACAACGTCAACATCATCAACACGCCCACTAGCTCCATGTGCATACTCCGGACTATACGCTGCTGTACATTACGCAGATTTTGTACTAGACAGCCAGTAGGGTCAAGTCCCCTGGTCTACCCACTGAACCACAGTCGCCCCCAGTTAGGGGGTGATTAACCTTATTATCCTTTCTCTCATAATACTTTATTGTGAAAGTTTGACTTACAACTTAATTCTTGAAAACTTTTTTTTTTATACAGTGGCCCCATTGTAAAACTGATCATTTGCATGTTGAATTAAGTTTTACAGATAACGACTAACTGAAGCCGTTACTGAAGATGCAGTCTGACCATCTTGTAAATAAGGCGTGTGGTCTGATAAAGTCCAGTCCTGGTTTTGTTTTGTTTTTCCTGCTGTGATCTTGTAAAAATAAGACATTGCTAATCAAGATTCTTCCTGAGTCCACTGCAGAGCATCATCCAGAACCAGAACGGCTGCTTTAATCCTTGACCATGATTCTAAAACTGACCCCCAACCCCCCCCCAGCCAATATTAAAAACTCTTCATTTATCAATAGCTATATTTCCATATAAATTCATATAAAAGAATTTCAAATTAAATAGGTAAAATTTAAAAAAATGACAAATACTTGAATTTTCAAGGCAGTTGCTCAAGGAATTCATTTTCTAGAAAAATCTGCCATATCTTAAGGACCCCATTAACAACTAAATACCAAACATGACTTCCTTGTTTGCTTTAGTTTCATAACTTCCTGTTTGTTCAAACAGACGACATGGTCCACAGCCAAACACAGCGGCTAGTAGTAATAGAAGTGCATGCTGCAGTCTGGTATGTAACTCCACGTTGTTTTTAAAAAAGAAATCCACATTTAAAAGCACATCATCCTGTACAAACATGGAATCATATTAACATCTAGGAATAAATCAACAAATGAATAAAGAAAAGAGGGAATCAGCTTTTTTTTTTCAATGTCACAATTTCATTCCCTCCATCAAAAAGTCAGTTCACAAAGCGACATCCATCGACGAGCTCAGGGGTGACATTCCTTCCAGCCGCTGGTCGACGGTCCACACCAGATTGATGCCCGATTCGGTACCTCCTGCCTCGCGTTGTGCACCTCCAGGACGTGCACAAGACGACGGCCTCAAGGAGACTGACAGAAGATTACGGAGTATGACAGGGCTGCATTGCTGACTCCATGCGTTACACAGCACCTGGGGACACAAACACCACTTGTGTATTTGTGGTCCAGCTGATCCAATAGGTTTTAACTGACAACTGGGGCCAGATGTTGTGATGTCTGACTGATCACACATTTCACTGGCATGAAACTGGTGGTCTACGGGAAGCCCTTAACTTTGAATCGATTCTACTTTGATTTTGATTGGGTTCCACTCTATGCATGACTTATGTTATCATCACAATGGGTTTTTTTATTCGGTAAGGTTCTAAATGTAAATAATGGTGAAATGTTAGAATAATAAATCTCTGCACCAGTTTTTATCAAAGTCCAAAAGTGCTGATATGAGCCTTCATAAACCTACAGCACAGCATTCCGACCCCAAGCCTGAGCCTACTGGTGGGGATCAGACTCTGGACCTGGCAGTGGTAATGCCTGGCGCTGCTTATACAATGCAACACCCAGACCTGACCATACAAGTGTCTCAGGCTACCTTCTGAGCTACAGTGAAGATAAAACCTGCAAAAACGAGCCAGGTTGTGGTTCTTGTTTTGGCCAGTGAGACCCAAAACATCTGTGTTAGCTCAGTGCAACTGAGTCCTGGCTTCCATCAGTCCAGGTCCTACTGTCACTGTAACAGCGGATTTATAGATGGATGTCTGGAGGCACAAAGATCCAGTACAGTTTAGCCCCACAGATAATCAGCCAGTGAGCTGTAAGATCCGGAATAAATGGTTCCACTCATCCTCAGATGTGTCAGTGTTTCCTTCTATTATGGAAAAAACTCAAAGCTCTCCCTCAAAGACAGGAAGTTTCTCCTCTTCCTCTCACTTGTCCTTGGGCTGCAGGCTGGCTGCCACTCACACAGAAATCTCATAGGTGGTGCCTCCGACACCCGTCACCTTCTTCACCCCACCACCCTGAGTCTTGTGGGTGGGACTCTGCATCAATGTCGAGCTAGGATAGGCCACTCCGGGTCGGGCAGACACGCTGACCAGGTGAGAGGGAGAGGAAGGGGCAGAACAAGAGGAGGAGGTGGAGGAGAGGGCTTGGCCACCATTAATCCGACTCTGAGGTTTCATCTGGATCAGCTCATCCCTAAATTGAGAAAAACAAAAAGGGAAAAAAAGGACTGATCAGTGGCCGAATGGTCGCAAAGTCCATAGGTGGAGATGTCAGTGATGGCTGGTGACTCTTACATTGTGTCACATATAATCTGTCTTAAGGCACTTTCACACTAGTCAAATTCATTTGGTCTGAACAAACAGAAAAAACTGCTGCTGTTTAGTTCTGGCTCAGTTCATGTCCACACTGGCTTTTTAAGAGATGGAAGCTGAAGTTAGACCGACCATCAGCTGACTCACTGATTGGACAGTTTTGGTGACTGTCATCCTGCATCATCAGGACCATGAGAAAGCCAAATCCTGCTGACTGACAGCGGGTCAGTCTGCACGGGTTCTATGATGTCATCAAAAGCTCACAAGGCAATAAATGCACAAATCAAAAAGTAATGAACATTTTTTTTCTTTTTGGAAAGGTAGGGTATGGGCCATGGAGCAACTGATTAGATTTTGGTGCTGACCCATATTTAGATACAGGAATATTTTAAAAGAGTCTTCACCACAGAGTGCTGCAAAAGGCTGTTGACTGTATGCGAGTCCCCCGTGACCCTGTTCAGGGACTAAGCAGTAGAAAATGAATGAATGAATGTATGCGAGTCCCCCGGTGGCCAAAGTGTGCTGTTGCGCTGCTAAGCAGTCCAAGCAAATCACAGGGTCATCACAGCTGCCCATTCATTGTCAGTGGAGACCGAGTGCTGTCACTCAGTACACCACGCTGTGTGAGACAGCGAACAAGGAGCCCAATGAGGTGACAGCCCACAGCTGGGGAAAGATCTACTCTATGCAGTGACAACCAAACAAAAGCCAGTTGGGATTATCTTGTTCCAAGACGGTGATGGGCAGAGATTTTCAACGAGGCTCAAAGACGTTATAAATTTCATCCTAGGACAGATATCATGCAATTTTATTAAGTTTTGACATATTTTCTGGTGACAAAGTAACCAATTATAATGATAACACGTTGTCTATCCAGGTAATGCCAATTTAGAATTTATTCTGATGTTTTCAGAGATGCGAGTGCTTGTTATCAAATTAGGTTAGCTTTCAAGGTCAAGGTTAGCATCGTATTTTTCTGTATCTGTCTGTGTTTAGAGGAGGGAGGGGGCTGCACTCCTCACACACACACACACACCTGAGCAGAGATTGTGACGGATCACTCCATAGTGCAACAATCAGCCAGTAACAGACTGTAGGAGCAGTTTATCAAACAGCTGTTGAACAAGCAGAACATAAATTTGCAGAAAAGTGATGTCTTCACTGCTTTGCCCCCAGTCCACTCACTGAAGTCCCAGTTTTACCCTTAAACCAACAAGAGGATGTCTGACATGGCTGTTGTTTTTCTTGAGTGCTTGCTCAAGGAGATTTGTTGGGTTTTCCTTATAACACTGTAAAGACTAGACCTTACTATGTAAAGTGCCCTGAGATGACTGTTGTGAATTGGTGCTACACCAATAACAGTGAAATAAAATGAATTGCTTTCAATCTAATAATGATATTAGCATCACTCCAAATGCAGGCAGTAGGTAGTGTCATATTCAAGCTATGTGTCATATGAGGGCCAAACTATCAGGGGAATATTGCTTTTATGGCATTATGGGGAAACCCTTGGTGGAGGTTGCACTAATAATAATATGATGAGACTGAAAACTGACTGCATGTAGTAAATAATTACTGGCTTCTGCAGGATTCAGCAAGTCACATTTAAGAACTTTAATATCACAAAATGCAACTTAATACCTGTTTCATTATCATTCATCAGTTCTCATTTTAGGGGAGTAAGAAAATAGATACACTTGAGTAACACAAAATTTTGCGTTGCTATACTGTATCAATTCTCAAAAGCAGTATTGATTTTTAAATAATAGTTCACATACCAAGCAGTGCTATGCTGTTGGATGTTATAGGGACTGTGGCAAATGCACACAGCCCTGTTCCGATTACGGTACATAAAAAGTCAACTTTTTACAGGACATGTTATGCATATAGTGGTATGTTTATTTTATGACAGTTTTTCTAAAATTGGACTTTAAAAAACCCACTATATATCCTCTTGTTTACATTATTGCAACATTGAATCGTAACCCCTGTATTGTGATATCGTATTGGTAAATCCACGCCAATACACAGCCCTACCTCATTTATTGTTAAATCATATTTATTTCAGTACTTCACAGATGTGTAAAACAGTCATTCTTAATGAATTAATTACTCATTAGCAGGAATTTCAATGGATGTAATGAACTGCCACAGAACAAGCATTAGTATACAAGCTCAACACAACACAGTGTTAACTGCTTCTGACTGATCAGTGTTAGTTGACTGACAGTTTAGCTTTTGGAATAATGCTAATTTCACATTTGTACCATCCCTAAAAACTCTGGTTAAGTTGTTTTCACACCAAATGAAACGCACTTGGAAACAGCTTCCAAACAGTTGTTTACTCTGCATCACAGCTGAACTAAACGAACAACCAATGTCCAGTTCACTTCCCATAGTCAGTCCACAGAGGGTCACAGTCTGCATGCACACTATGTGTACCCTGAAACTGACAATGACAATAGGAGCGTTTCTGCTGAACTGCCAACTGAACTTGAAAACCTTGCAGGACTGTGTCCAACACAGCAGGCAGTACAGTCCCAAATGAGGCCACTTCTTTCTCAGTATGGAGGTTGAAACATTCAGATTAGACTACTAGCTAATAAGAAACATTCACTATGCTAGAGAAATGATTAGCAGGGTTTCCCACACATTGACTGAACTTGGGCAGGCGACCCAGGTATCTTAAAAGGCCACCCAAGTATATTTTGCCACCCATTTTTATTATAAAACTTTTTTTTGTCAGAAAGAACTACGCAATCCATGACCAATTAACTAATGCACAATTTCCCCTCGCTATTTCATTTGGGCACAGTGAATTGATTCGCTCAGCTGCTCCTTAACCACCCACACACACCCACAACGAACAGTTTGTGAACAGCTCCTTACAGCAAGCCCCTGTAACATTAAATAGGTGGACAGGATTTACATTTAAGATACTGTATCTGCAACGTATTTAGGACTAGTCAAAACTACAATTTAAAATATCTGCAATTCAAATTTGACCACACAAAATTTGAAATAAAGATATTTATAGTTACATTTTGAGTACTACAAATTCCTCACTGAATTGACTGGGAAAACTAATTTAAGATGGACAATTCAGTTCTCCCTATCCGAAATGTGAATTCCAGATATCTGTTTTTATATACATGACGAGACAAAATAAGGTCACAGACAACACTGCTGCATTTTAGCTTTTTTTTTTTAAAGATATCTATAATGAAAATATGAAATCTAGCCACAGGGGTAGTCAAAATTGAAATAAAAGATATTTATATCTACATTTTGACTAGTCATAACTCCAGCTTCAAATGTCTACAATGGCATTTTGACCAGTCATATCTTAATTTGAGACATCCAAAAAGATAGACATCTTTTCAATGTACTGAATTAAGGATACCTGGAACTGGAATTATGACCCATTAAAGATATAGTATCTTTCATTTGAATTTTGACTAGCCATAATGTAAATACAGATATCTGGAATTCATATTTCGGATAGGCAGAACTGAACTGTAGATAAATTAGTTTTGCCTTTCAAGTGAGTAAAGAGTTCTTACTGGTCAAAAGGTAATTGCAGATATCTTTAATTATAGTTGTGACTAGTTGTCAATACATTGCAGATATCTGCAATATGAATTCTGTCAATCTACTAAATGCTAAAATGGCACAGTGACAGCATTTTGGATAGCCAAAAAGAAATTGTGACTAGTGGAAATGTAACTGCAGATATCTGAAACTGCCATTCTTACTGGTCAGGATACTGTAGATACATATCTTGATTTATGATTTTTGCCTCGTCAAATTTTAATTCTAACTAGTCAAAATGCTGTTTTAGATATGAAATGCAGTTATGAGTATTTAAGTGAAACCTTTTAAATGTTAAAACCGTCTGCCATAGCTCCTCCTTTGTCTTTTTTTCACAATGCTGTCAATCACGGAGATCTAACTCTTCTAATAAGTTATTAGTAAGCTAGCTAGTAAGGATAACTAGGCTAATGTTAGAATAACTTAGTTGTTGCCGAGGTTAGCATGGTGTGTATTATAGCTGTTTACTACTCTTCAAGTGGAAAACAATGCTAATTCTTAAACTCTGATGCAGAATGTTTGCTCCCCCAGTCCTGAGGAATATTTAAAAAATATTTTCCTAAACCCAAAGGACCCGTCCTAAGGAGGCACACGCAGTCTGAATTGGTCTGACCAGTGTTCCAATTTCTTTATTTCAAACATTTTCAGGCTTTGCCAGTGCTGCTGAATAGAGGGGTCAGGAGGGAAAGAAAGGAAAGCGATGCGGAAAAGGACGACAGCAGGCAGCATGCTGCTATGGGAGAGCCAGCTACTGCAGGAGCCATAAGAAGGGCCAATAGCTAAGGAAATACAGTATTACCGTATTTAATAAAGTAATAGGGCAGCTCCTCCAAGTAAAATCCAATTGTGTGGGAAACACTGATTATAATCAAATTTTCCTTTAAGAGTTGGTTCATCTTTAAACTGGAACACATGCAGCATTCAAACAACAGTCCATTTCATTTAGTTGTCAAGATCACAGTGAAAATACACAAATGTTTTGTGTTTCTGTAGAAAAACCAGACCCATGCAGTTGTGAAGAAACTGCAAATAACATGACAGTGACAATGGGTAGGATGGAACCAATGAGTAAGATGGAAAAGCAACAGGGCTGCTGGACAGGACAGAAACACACCTCAGGGTGTCAACAGCCTGACTGGTGTCATGCAAAAGTCTGCTTGTGCGTCAGTGCAACCGAAGTGCGAAAAGCTCATCTGGTAATAAACTACAATGCAGAAACATTGGATTCATTCCTGGGAAGAAACACATGATGCTTCACACATTTGTGCTCATTTGTAACACAGACAGTGTCTGAGCAGAAAAGTGAAGAGATACTGATCTATCTGTAGAACGCTAAAGGCACTGATAGAAAATACTGTACTGTCCAAACAGAAAGTGGTAACAATGCAGAGATAAGAACAGGCAGAGCACAACAACATCACACATATGACTGTGAGAAAAGTCACAGATGAGTGGAAGATAAGCAAAGGGAAAAGAAGGAACAACTCACAGGAAATCTGGCAGGAGGAAGAAGAGAGAAGGGAAGAGGAGGAGGAGGAGCAGTCAATCAGGTGGTCATGGTTTCAGGAGCGCAGGTGGTGTTTCAGTGTTAGCAGCAAACCAACGTCTTGATAAAAGGCGAAACTCATACTCACTTCGGTGCTTGTATTCCTCCTCCTCCCATCCCTCCACTTCCTCCTCCTCCTCCTACCCCCGCTGCATTGGCCCCGGCTGACGCTGAGGCCTTACGAACCAGCCGGTACTGCATTTCAGCAGCAGCAGCACTTGAGTACGACAGTGACTTGCCCAAGGGTGGGGGATGGGGGGAGTTGGGTGGGTGAGAGGTGGAAGTGGACGATGGGCCCAGGGGAGTGTCAGTGGAGCGGGTGCGGTAGGGGTAGGCGTGGTGGAGTGGTGCATGCGGGGCAGGGAAACGGGGAGGGCGGGATATAGAAGAAGAGGACGAATGGTGGTGGTGATGATGGGAGTGGTGGTGGTGGTGGTGATGGTGGTGATGGTGTGAGGGAGGTGGAGCTGAGGAGGAGGGAGGAGCAGAGGCCTGATTGGCAGGTGGGGGGTGGGGGCTGAGGTGGGGCTCGCCCAGCAGGGCGCTCTCTCTCTGGAGGAGGTGGTGGGGAGGAGGATGTGGAAGAGGACGAGCGATGGAGAAAAGGATGGTGGTGGTGGTGGGAGGAGCGGTGGTGGTGATGGGGTGACTGGGACTGAATCTCAGCATCTCTCTGCTGTGACGACAAGAAAGGGGAGCCGTAGCCGCCTGTTGCTGGTGTGCAGGGTCTCCCAGAGGAAACCTCAGGGACTGCTGACCCTGTCGCCACCCCCTTCTCATAATCATCACTGCCTGCCAGTGTCATATGACAGGCTGCCGTTGCGAGATGTCTGGTGAGGTGGGGGTGTCTGACTGGCTAAGCTCTTGAAGCTGGCTGAGGTGGTTGCCTCAGAGACATGGATGGCGCCTGTGGAGGTGTGCGTCGAGCTGGAAGATCGAGATGCCACTCCTGATAATACAGTGGAGTCGGAGAAGGAGGGGTATGATCGCCCACCGAGGGAGTAGCCAGGGATGCCCCCTGCTACAACCTCTCTTCCTCCCTCCCTCCTCTCCCCACTTCCACCCCCTCTCGCTCGGTCAGATGAAGTGTCTCTCCGGTCCAGGCTGGGCTGGGAGCGAAAACCAGGCTGCTGGCTGGCCTGGAGGAGGGAGGAGGTGGAAGAGGAGGAGTCCCTGGCACTGCCGACACTCTCTCCTCGACTTAACTGGAGGGGGCAGGAGGAGGACAAAGAGGAGGCAAGTTAAAGGAGACAGGAGGACCAGGGAGAGAAAAGGAACAACAAGAAGCTGAGCACATCAGAGCAGAGCTACATGGAGCTGTGTGACTTTCTGCTGAGCTCCCTCTAATATTGACATGCTGACACAGCATCTCAACCGCTGCTGGGGGAGTATTTCTTTGCCAGACAAGAACTTGTGTTTTTACTAGTCAGGACCGATACTGATGTTCTTAAACTTGATATAGCTCTTTTTTAGATTTATATTCTGTATACTTCAGGGATATCAGTTTATCACTGCATCTCTGCCACCTGCTGCTAGCATACATTTAACACTTATTCTGCTGCCTGTTTGCCATTTAACCACCCATGCGTCTATGTGACAAGTATCACACCAACATGGGAGTGCAGCCAACATCAAGGGTCACACACCTGTCCTGTTGAATGCCTAGTGATTGAAAGCTTGTCTTCATATTCAATTACAAAAGAATGCCAGCTCTTTGTTTTTTCAAATTAGATGTTCAATGCCAACATTTTTTCAGTATAATGGTGTTTGAGGTTTTAAAAGCGACCAAATGGGAGAGTGTAACAGAGAAGAATGTTTATTTCCCTTAACAAATACAGTAGTTGCAGGAGAATACTGAGGTCACACAAATCATTCATTGCAATTAAGACAATCTGACACATCTTTTGGTAATTTTTTAGGCAGGGATGAAAAATATGTTACCAAGATGACAAATTAATACATCTCCAAAACCCCTAAGTAGAGATAAAGGAAGAAAGAAATCTCTCTTGCCGTTTGATTCCTCTGTGTTCTGATAGTTTACCTTTCCCTATGAAAGCCTGGTATCTGAGTATGAAACATCAAAAGTAGAGATCAGTGGGTGCAAACTGCCAAATGATGGTAAAAATGAAGCTTTTAATGTTGAGTCTGAGCTAAGAGGAACAATTCCTTTGGATAAACTCTGGGGAGAATCTACAGGGGGAACCCAACACATTTCTAATAGGAGAAGTGAAAAAAGGAAACTAATAAGATGGAAGATCACAAAAAATGAATAGAAAGACTCAAAACAGTATTTTTACAGAATGTTGGACTGACAGCATATGGACCAGACATGGGTACAAATACACAGCAGAACTAATGTTTCAGTACCAATCCAGATGTATTCAGTTACAATCCTTTGAAATAAAACAAAAAAGTCACTCTGTCCAAACAGTGGTGCGAGGACTAATACATCCAGTCACTAACCACTGTAAATAAAGTATTAGAGGATAATAAAAATAACATGAGAGGTACTTGGAATATATTAAATAAATTGATTAGAAACAGTACCAGCATGAGTAAGTACCCTCAATATTTCATGGATAATGATACACCGGTCAATAGATTGGAGGATGTAGTAGATAAGTTTAATAGGTTCTTTGTGAATGTTGGTCCTGGTTTAGCAAGAAGCATTTGTACAGATGATACATCCGTCACTATAAATAATAATACAATCGAAAGGAACATGAGTTCTATGTTT